TACTATATTATTATTATTATTATTATTATTATTATTATTATTATTATTATTATTATTATTATTATTATTATTATTATTATTATTATTATTATTATTATTATTATTATTATTATTATTATTATTATATGTTTTTAATTATATAGATTTATATGGTGGGGAGAAAAAAAAGAATACTTTATAACTGGATATAACAAAACATTTTACAATGAATCGTAAATTCATTCACCAAGTAATAGTGAATAAATACTTTAAGCAGGATTTGAACTTTTTTTTGATCTTTTTAAGTTAATATTATATATACACAAATTATTGAATCTATATTATTGATATTCACAATTGTTGACATGAAATGGTTTAAATTTTCAAATATAACTAAATCAAGGAAACAATAATAGGATGATGGCGAAGATATAAACATCAGTGCTATCATTATTATCATTGTTGCATGTTGTTATTTATGATAAGACGATAATCTGGTTTTTAACCCTATAAATTTGTGTCACAAGCAATTTTACAACTTTATTAACAAGAAATGAATAAGTTCTACAATGAATGAATTTCATATTGCAATGTAACTTTTTATACAATCTCACCAATTCGATTTTGAATTCAATTAAAGATTTAATGTAATTTTTGGTTCGAATAATTCTGGTAGAATTTGTAATGATTGTAGCTTCTGTTAAGCTTAATACATTAAGTATGGGTAAAATTGGCAAAAATCTCATATAACACTAATTCTCCCTTAGGTTTAAGAACTGTGGCAAAAAATTAGGGAAAAAACATGTAGGAAATAACCACCGTAGTTTACACAGCAATAACTTGAACTTGCAAACATTTTTTTTAATATCTTTTTGCTTATCCTCAAATCAAAAATCCGTCAGTTGTCTCATTGCTTATCTGGTTTCCTGAACCGGATTGGAAAGTTTTGATTTTCTGAAAAAGTTAGAAGTCTTTATTAACCGAACTTTAAATGATAATACATATAATGAAAGAGTTCAAATCTAAACTATTATGCAAGCTCAAGCTTTAGATTTAATTAATCTATATGTAACGCGCAAAAAACTCATTAATCATAATTGTCAGATAAGATTAATCAGATAAAATTGAATTAATTATATGTCAATTTTAAATGTGAAACAAAAAAAAAGTTATTGATAGATAAATGTTTTAATAAGAAAAATTTAATGAATAATGAGAAATTTGATAAAATGGATAACTTTCTGATATTAAACAGAGTATTATTAACTTCGTGTCTTCTCTTATTTTATTATTTTATCGATCGAAAAAGAGAAAGCACACAATGAACCACTCATTTTGATAAATTATGATATAAATTCGTAAAGGAAAAAGAAAAGGTTTTAAATTAATTTATTTTTGTGTGTTTTAAAAATGATAGAAAAGTGAATTGTGTGCGACATTTTTGACAAAAAAAAAAAAAAGAGAAGCATTTTATGAAAAGTGCAAAAAACGAAAAGGAAAGTGAAACAAGGTTAAAAGTTGATCCGATAATTAAGATGAGAATAATGATAGTTCAAGATAGAATAAAAAGTTTCTTGAAATTAAAGGGTCAAAGTAATTCTCATTTAGAGCAACACAATAAATGAATGTTATGATCATAATTTATACTTTTGGTTTATTAATTTTATGGGATGATGAAAACTTTTGCGCTTTTATCATTCTTTTTTGCTTTTTTCTTTGTTTTATTTTCTGGGTTATCTTTTTCTATTTTCATGCTTTCACATTTCTATCTGACATGAAAACAAACATATATAGAGGAAGTGAAATATGACAACGGTTGAGTTGGTAACAGAGAATGGCGGAAGAAATGACCAAAAACTTGTAAATAAGCGGAAAAGATAGTCATGTGTGTTAAATCAAAGAAGGCAATCAGTGGATAATTCTTGTAAGAGTTCGCATTCTTTAAATGCACGGCATTGCAGGACAATTGCGCTGCATCATCTATCTATAATACAATTATGTTTGGAAAATAGAATAGTAAAGGATGTTAGAATTTACAATGAAGATTGCAAATAGTGATGGAGATGGAAGAAAAAGAGCAATTTGATCATATATCGTTAAGTAATAAATCTGATCTTCTTTATTCCTTTTCATTATCATGATATTCCATTTTTGTTTTTTTTAAATTTATTTTCTTCTCAGTTTTATGATAATTATTATACAGTAGGCTTTCAAATTCTAATTGAATGGATATTTCCTGAGTGGAATATCATGCAATACTGACATTTTGCATAATTTTCAATCCAAATTTGATCAGGAAATATTGATCATTTGATAGTTAAACTATCCGCTAGCTTTAGTCTATTGGTTGAATAAAAGGACTATTAACAAAGAGTAAAAGCACGGTAGAGCATTATTATTATCACTTCGAGTGTTGCGAGTGTTCATGATGTAAACAGAAAAATTCGGAATCTTCCCATTTCACCATCTGCAATTGTTGTTGATGGACTTTTTTGTTACTGATCCGGGAAATCTAAGAAAAAGGTGCAGATTTTTGCACATTCCTGAATTCTTGACGAATTGAATTACTCGGAAGACGTTAGTTTGTGAAACTTTGTATGAAATGAAGAACTCAGCTAAATTTAATCAATTTGCTCTTAGATCTGTTATTGCTCATATTTTCGCATTTTCGAAGAATTTTAAACTGTTGAGTATAAGATGAAAATTTTTCTTTCATTTTAGAAATTTTTTGTTCAAAATCAAAAAAGGGAAGGTTTTTTTAAGATGGTATCGATGAAGGTAAGATACAACATGCTAAAGGTACCATTACACAAAAACTTCAAAGTATTACATTTGGAAATGAAATATTATCACAAGGATTTGATAACGAATAGGACAGAAGCCAGTTATGACACTAATTAAAATATAGAATTCAACCTAGAAAAAGTGTCACTAAAGACTTCACTTGGTCAAGTTCCATTAGTATTTTTACCACTTTCCATTCCACTATTGCTCGCAATTATTCATTGTTGTGAACAACAGTTTAAAATTTTAGCTCATAAAATCAACTCATCCCACTAATTCATCGTCCTAAACATTTATGATATATGTACCAGTGCAATTGCTCGTTAATCGGCTTTTTCAGGATTTGCAATGCAATCCTCGTTACAAACATAGATATCATTGGTATTCCCACCAAATTACTGCACGTTAAGTTTTGGTATTTTGGCATAGCAATAAAACTGCTCAATTATACCACTACCGTAACATTTCCGAAATTGTTCCCCATAATCAAGCACAATTAGCAATTCCGGTATCTTCCGGTGCGATGCCCACCTGTTGAAGATGTTGCTCAAATGTGACCGGCACTCAAACACCAAAATTCCTTAATTTGTGCTAACCATTTCTAGGTTTTAATGCAAACCACCACAGTCAATATGGTCCTCCTGAATATAGTTTATTACTTCCGACAGTGCTGAAAATTGGCTTAACTACCACTAAATCCTAAAGTTATCGCAAAAGATGGATCCTAATTTTCAAAAATCGAATCAGTTTATCAGAGAGATATGATATCCAGAAAATTTTTATCTTTTTTTTACAAACATAGAAAGCTCCAGGTTACAGTAAGAACGTTTTGAAATAATTCGGTTCTCCATTTGACTTAAAATGATTGCTTAAAATATTAGTAATATCCCTTTTCGATTTGCAATGATTCAATTTCAATTATTATGCCAATGGTTTTAGTAAGTTGTGCTAGCCTCTCTTTTACCACAATGATACACAATGATATCACATCCTCATTATTCAGATAAAATAAGGATCACTGACACCCATGATTAATCTACATACCAAACAGAATAAATGCTGGAAGTAAAATGATAAAAAAACAATCACAGAGAAGTATTAGGTTCTGAAAAGTGAAAACAATATCAAAAAAAATCCTTGGAATACTGAATTTTTTCTATTCCATCAGTTACTAGTTTTCCGGAATGCCGAACCATTATTAGTGCTAGAGAAATTGGTATTTTTTCAAACAAACGAGTAAATATTATGGAATGCTGGGATCCACAACCACTCCACCAGAAAACCAGCGCATATATTAACAAGAATGCAGTCGCGTTTTCTGTACAATACATAGCAGAAGAGGTTACGTGAGTTTCAAATATTTCTGGCGACGCTGGTATTCGAGTTACTAGACTCTGACAATGGAACAGGTGTGTTTAGCATGAGGTCAATAAAATGCGGCGTAGATGTCGTGCTCTTCGATCCAGATGCTCTATGAATCTGTAGCCGCAAGCTGATCAGGAATACTTATAAAGCAAAGAGCAGGGATAGGTCCATGAAAGTCAATATGCTGGTTTTGGATTAAATTGTAGAACAAAAGTGATGATACAGTAAGAGTTACACTAGAAACCAGTATCATCCATCAACTGATTTGTCCGCCTAAAAGCAAATTTCATGACATCACGTTGTAAAATTGCCTGTTTTTCGGGTGTTAGCATAAAAAAGCAGGTCTGCAGCTGTTGGTAAAACTGTTGTTCCGTTGGTACCGAAGCGCTAATGACGGAAGAATCTCTTGTTTCTAGTGGTTTTGACGATTGTGCTGGTTGCAGTAGCTGCATTGGTTGTGTCACCTCAACCGGTGGTTCATTTCCTTGACTTTGCAGTTGGTGCGCAAGTAAAGCAATAGTATCAATCACCTTCGAAGTATTAACGTCATTTTCCACAGAAATTTCCTTGCGGATATCTAAAAAAAATCGGTATGAAATGAATAATGAAAAGCGAAGAAGGGAACTAGTTAAATCTAACAATTCCCTGAACCTATTCTTGGATATTGATGAATTAATTAGCAGTAGTAATTCATAGAGAACAATTGACGGAAAGCACAGCAGAATAATGAAGGAATCACCTCCGGATTTTCGGATGTTGTCGATAATGTCTTTTCTAGAAATCCCTGGCTCTGGAGCAGGGCTGTTGCTACATGACTTTCCACCTTCTGGTTCTGATATGAAAAAGCTGTCACTGAAAACAAAGAGAACAGGGATATTTGAAAGGACTCAACAATTACAGCAAAGATTTCTTGTCTTTTTTTTCAACTCGTAACAAACTCGAAAAAATAAGTCAAAAATTCTGGAAGTTCCGAAGTTGCTCACCCAGCTACATACAAATTATTTACTTGACCACTAAAGGTGCCTGTATGTGTGAAAAAAAGAGAAAAATTCACTAAATTCTTGAATCCCTAGACATTCATGTATTTGGATTTAAACCACAATAATCAACTGGATCTTTATTTGAACCTAACACATAAATATTTATTTAAGAAGTACTCAAGTATATTTAGAATTCGGGAAAAATCTGAATGTGTTTCGAATACATCGTCTTTAAATTTCTTTGACACACAGGTTGATGGAACCATTGTTCCAAACATACCGAAATATCATTTTGAAGTTGTCAAATAATTTTCACGATAAATAACTTATTCTGGGACTTTAAATTACTAATTCCAATGCCATCAACGCACTAAATCTTTTTTATAGTTGCTTAAAAAGGAATACCAAAAGGAATACCATAAAAAATACATTTTCCTTAAGACATTCAAAATGTTGATGAAGATTCAAAGCAGATTAAGGGGAAACTCGCATTATACTCAATGTTTCATTTATACCTAGACCTTAATTGAGTCCTCTTGAAAAAAAAAAAACATAGTTTCAAAGTAGAGTATTTGAATCCATAACATACCACTACTCTCTGCAATAACGATATGGTAAACATACCGAGCAAACTCCTCTTCCATAATGCCATCCAGAAATTTCATTGCATCAAAATATCGACGATATTTACAATTTCGCGTAGTCCTTACACCAGGATTCTGCCTTTGTTGTCGTTTCTCATTGGCATAGGATCGTCGCAACTGAAGCCATATTTTTCGGCATGTTTCCTCTATAACATGCACCATTATATAATGAATAAGAAAAACTTCGCAATACTCTGAATTGTCAAGTTTTAACAATGAATTATAAGCGTCAACTGATTTAATTTACTCAATTGATTATACTTATTCTTGCAGCTCATATATCACATATTTTTAAATAAACGACTCTCCGCAAGATGATTTGAGAAGCGATAACTCGTAACTTCAGGAAACGTTTACATCTGCTAATTTTCGATCAAAATTTTCAAGCCAATAAATATACTAAAGTTATTCAACACATCTATAAAAACTCATTTTTGCAAATCTTAAAATAGAGAACAAACAATTGATTCGATATTGGTGCTCCATGAACATTATGTATGGTAATAATGAGAAACAGCATAAAACTTGGTGTAAGTGGAGAGATTTGGAATGAAGACCAAACAAAGAAGAGGTCAGAACCGAAGAAAGAACAAATGACAGCACATTACTACTGAAATCTACTGAGGCCCCAAACCATTTTCAATGCTACTATCAAAATACAATACCATCAACTTGTTTCAAATCATTCGACATCTCTGCAGCAATGCTCTCCCAAGCTTGCTTCTTTTTGTTCGTTCGTGTGTGATACTCTTCAAAGCTACCATCCCAAAGTATCTCATTACGTCGAACCAAATCTATGAAACATTCCATTTCAGGACCTGTAATATCAATTAATTGTGTGCTTAAACTGGAAATTCAAAATTACTATTTCTGAAGAAGACAGAAATATAACTAGCAGATCCATATGCTAGGAAAAAAAATAATAGAAGTGTTAAAATAACACTTCAACAAGGAAGTCAGAAGAACCTTTGAAAACAAGCACATGTCGCAAATTAGTTGACTTGGTGGATGCTGAAACTTTCTCACCAAAATCGGTTAAAATACTTCCATCCTGAAAAAAGGACCAATTTTCTTTCGAATTACTACAGTTGATTTTTTTACCACTTATCGAAATTTGTCCTCGTTCCATATCATTGAATGTGTTAATATAATGACATATATTACTGGAATAAAGTTACATATGCCTTCACCCCCACCATCAATCCAGTCATTTCCCGACACAGTATGCCTCCAAGTAATGAAAAGACTGTGGTTTCATAAAAACTGTTAACAAATCCCAAAGTATTTCGTTAAAGTAATCCGACCGATATATAAAACAAAATAAATATGCGAATTATGTAAATAAACAGATATACAAAGATACAACTGTAACCCATACCTCGCAATTTACTGTTACAGAATGACTAGTAGACGGTTCCATAGCCAGAAGGGCACCATTAGCACAAATTTCTGACAGATCTTCTTCTTCGTTGCCATCTTCAACTTTAATTTTACAACCTGAAAAAAGTGCGCATCCAATCATAATCGATTCAATGCCAGCAACACATATATTTTTCTTGTAATTTACAAAATGATAAACCAACGTTTAAGCTGTTCATCACAATTAATTTGTCCGGCAACTTCATCAATCGCTCGTTTCAAAGTTAATCTCCTTTCTGTTTTCGATTCCTCTTCCATCTCCTCCTTTTTGATTTCTGTGGATCCTACGATATGGGCACCACTGATGTCGCTCATCACTCTTTCACTTCACAGCACTGAACTGGATACCGAAAGTACCACGAAACTCGGTTAGTAACAATTAAAAAAAAACTGGTCTCGCAACGTCGAACAACAATCTAAGTAACAGATGGTAAAATTAACAGCCACCATAACTCTCCAGTTAGCTCTAACTGAAGGTAAACACAATCCAGCATTAATTTCCAGGAAAAGATCCACAGTACTGATTTGTTTAAAGTACCTAATGACAAGCAGTTAAGCAGACCAAGCAGTTTAAATTACCTAATGATCAACCAATTAACAATTCCAACCTGTCACTAAAAATGCTCATTGTCCTCGACACACATATCATGCCTGTGCTATCTTAATATCCCTTATTTCTATAATTCCGGAATGAGAAAAGTCACTTCAAAATCGACTTGCTGCTGCAATGGTGATGAATGAACGAAACTAAACTATTCGTATGGACGGGCATTTCTAGTCGTTAACTGCATGGCAAGTAAACAACATCAAATGATAGTTCTCATCAGAGAGCATACACAACAAACAAATGCCTAGCAATCAATAAGGTTGGATGGAGTTGAATGATGTAGGAGAGTTCGAGAGATACTCACATCTACATCTACCATAACATTTCACATCCCTCGTTTCTCTCCACTATCTTCTCTCTTTAACTATTCTCCTCATATGCGTTTTATTGCTGAGCAAATAAGAGAATTGCTACTACTACTGACTGATTAGCTGGTTCATTGCATATTTCACTTGCTTTTGCATCTGCTAAAAACTACACAGGGTGTGTCATCCAATACTATTCACTCAAATAAATGTCCTCTCTACCTCTTATCTCCTATCTCACCATAATTGCCTACTTAATACTAGATTGTTGGCGCTGCTAATCAAACATCATCATTACCACCACAACCACCGCCATTACCATCAACACCAACATCATCACTATTACAAACCATCACACTATCATCACCATCACTAATGATCAGCATTTGTTGGCATTTCATTTAACGATTATTCTCCGAACAAACGGAAAAAAATCGATTGCATTTCAAAGTAAAGGATAGTACTAATTGCCATTTCCTCAACTGAAATTCATCTTTTCATTTAGCAACAAATTTCTGCCAACATACTAAACAGTGAGATTGATCTTAATGCGCAAACCGTTCATATATCAATCATTAATTGAGAGGATAAAAGTGAACTTACCGTAACCTTCCCAATTTATTGTATAAGTCATTTCTAATCGATCTATAAAAATGTATCATCCAGAAAGACGATAACTGCTTCAGTTCGTTGTTTTACAAATAGAGAAAAACTTCACCAGTCAACTGTTCTTCAGAATATCATATAATTCAAAACCATTATCTGAAAGCACGTCATTTACAAACCTAATTAATGAAATGTCAGTAAACTTTCTGGTTCCTGTTGTTAGCAGACAAAAAAAAAGACTTCACTACCAGAATAGAATCCAGGAAACTTCTCTTTCTATAAAAACCTTCCTACACTGACATTGAACTGAGAAACTGTTTGAGAGTTAGAGAAAGCAGGATATTTTTAAGCGATAATCATACATTGATAGGGCAGGTATTCCTTGTCATTTAGAAGCATGGAACAAATATTTAGAAATAATTTATTATTACAATAATGACTGCTTCAGCCCTTCCTGACATTATGCACAGAAAATAAATAAAATTAATAAAATAGATGTATGAAAGAGCAAAAAAAATGAAATGCGTACGATATAAAATATAATTTTGGATCATCAAAGATATCCCTTAACAAGATGCGGAGCTGGAATTGTACAGAAGCCTGAAATCCGCCCTAGGAATTCTTAAGGGCAACTGGAAACTTCGGGGGAATTCCTAGAATCGAGGTGTTTTAGATTTGTATTATACTTTCAAGGATGCTCTGGAATCATGGTGCAAATTTCAATAAACTTTAAAGTCGTTTAAATATAGAAAATAAATAATTATTATTGTTGAGCATCACTTCATAGAAAAAAAGGAATTATTGGAATACTATAAAGTTTGATAAATACAACATTCAGCACAATCAACAGGTAGAAACGAAACTAAAATTAATTAGAATACGTTTAAAAATATTCTTGCAACAAAAACTTGTAGCAATTTACAACGAAGAATAACAGCAAAAAATAAGAAGCATAAAGCTACCACTCATCACATTGTAATCCTGCTTAGAAGAATAAAAAAAAATGCAATTTTTGAAATTAATCATTTTCCATATCGACCTGCGGATTTCTCTCAACATAAAATGCTCCCTCACGACGGTACATTTTTAGCCTGATCATATCTTCCGGCGAAATGATAGGATCCGCACTATCAATAAGTTTGCAAATGACATCATATTTACACTGCTTACCCTCAGCATTTCTTTCAATACTTCGATTTAATATAGACGCCAGGAAGCTGTAAAATATGCTGTTATAAAATATACCTTAAAGGTTTGTATTCTCAAGTGTCATTTACTGCTTACGATTTCGAATTTTTCTTAATATCTCCGTTTCAATGCTCAAAGACATTTTTTTTTAAATAACACTAAGACGCTCCAGATGTCACGAAGGAATTTTGATTCAAATAAGATGATCGAACAGCGCTATTATGATATTCTGGGCACTTTGGATTTTACTGAGAAGCAACCATGCGAAGAATATAGTCAAGCTAAGTAATTTCATAAATGCCAGAAACAATTCTTGAAAGCTTGGTTCTCACGACCATCATCAACCTACAGTGACATCGAACAAAGTTGATAAAATACAAACCCAGTAGCGAAGTAGAATGTGCGAATTGACCATTTATGATCGAAAAGTGCCAAAAGTAATCGTAGCGATGATATTCGAACATCATCAAATGGTTTGCTCAGATAAGAAATTACAACTGATGGAAACGTCTCACCGAGCCAGTTAAACCACTTCTGCGCAACTGCATCTGCATCTGCATCCTGCAAATACAGATCATTCGTTTGGAGTACAGAAATATTTCCCAAATTTGACTTTTTGAACATGAGCTTAGATAGTCACGCTTAGTATTTCGCGCTATAATTCAAATTATGCAAATAAAAAATGTATCATTAAATAAATAAATGGAAATGAATGTATCATTACCTCAACTTCATCTTTGACTTCTAACATCATTGATAAAGCACTGATATGGCGTACTCGCAAATCGAGTGGCCCACTTGCAATAGCCACACCAAATGCATTCATTGCTCTCCTCATGTCGCACTGTGCTAAAAACAGAACATCTGTAACTGATATAAAGGATTCAAGGTATATTCCCAAAATCTAATATATTCCAGTCAGCACTTCAGGATTCACTTCTCAAAGTTATGGCAAAACAAGAGCTCATTCAACTTTCAACTAAGAAAAAAAATCCGATAACAAATATATTACTAAATTTCCAAATCTTTAGGTTCAAGACCAAGCAAGAAATCAAGAAAAATTCACGACAATTATTGTATTGTCCATCCAAAAATTTTTTAGCACGATCGGTTGACCCCACAGCCCCAAGTGTATCAAAGGCAAGAAGACGTAAAGATGCGTCCAATCGATCAAAGTGATAAATCAAATCAAACAATGAATCCAGAAATTTTGGAAATCGAGACAAACATTCCACATTTGCCACAGAAAGATGCCCAAAAAACTTGATAAGAGCTGCAAAAAAAGAGATAATCAGATGAGAATTATGTAAAAAATTGGCTAAGGTTAGAATATCTTCATATTTCGAATCTACTCCCACTCTTTTAACAATTCATATATCAGCACTGAAATTTTAGCAATTGACAAGTATTGGGGGAAAGTATAATGCTACTATATGTATATATATATATATATATATATATATATATATATATATATATATATATATATATATATATATATATATATATATATATATATATAT